CCCTAAACCCTAAACCCTAAACAACCCTAAACCCTAAACCCTAAACCCTAAACCCTAAACCCTAAACCCTAAACCCTAAACCCTAAACCCTCCCTAAACCCTAAACCCTAAACCCTAAACCCTAAACCCTAAACCCTAAACCCTAAACCCTAAACCCTAAAACCTAAACCCTAAACCCTAAACCCTAAACCCTAAACCCTAAACCCTAAACCCTAAACCCTAAACCCTAAACTCTAAACGCTGGACAGTTCGCGCTAAACCCTAAACCCTAAACCCTAAACCCTTTAATACAGAGGGGGTATTGGCGGTACCAAAGGGGGCCCCCAGCAGCAGACAAGGGGGCCCCCCAGCAGCAAACACGGGGGCCCCCAACAGCAAGCAGGGGCCCCCAATGGTTACACTCAGGGGGGCCCCCCAGCAGAAAGCAGAGGGGCCCCCAACAGGAAATAGGGGGCCCCCCAGGGGGGCCCCCCACAGCAGCAAACCGGGGGGCCCCCCAGCAGCAAATGTAAAGGCTGCATGGGGTCTAGGGGGGCTGTGCTGCTGCTTCGTGTGTCTCCTTTTTTGTCTCCTTTTGTCTCTTTCTCTGTCTCCTTTTTTGTCTGCTTCTGTCTCTCCTTCTGTCTCCTTTTTTGTCTCCTCCTGTCTCTGTCTCTTTCTCCCCCTGCCTCCTTTTTTGTCTCTTTCTGTCTCCTTTTTGTCTCTTTCTGTCTCTTTTTCTCTGTCTCTTTCTGTCTCCTTCTGTCTCTTTTTCTCTGTCTCTTTCTGTCTCCTTTTTTGTCTCTTTTTGTCTCTTTTTTTCTGTCTCTTTCTGTCTCCTTTTTGTCTCTTTCTGTCTTTTCTATCTCTATAACAAAACACCAGCCGTTTGCCCTTCACTCTTAATCAAGTCCCCCTAAACCCTAAACCCTAATTCCTAAACCCCAAACCCTAGACCCTAAACCCTAAACCCTAAAAGACAAGTGTAAACAAAACCATGCAAAGTCAGGGCCCCCTACAAAACCCTCATAAAACCTGGGGGGCCCCTGGGGGCCCCCGGGGGGCCCCCCGTCCTCTCTGCCTTGGGGGCCCCCCTCCTCCCCTCCTATTAAATTCTGCTAAAGCATAGGGGCCCCCCAAGGGTACTGAATTGTTACGGGGGGCCCCCCACCCCCCTCGCTTGTGGTGAGGTTTAGGGGGCCCCTGTTGGGTCTCTGAGGGGCCCCTGGGGGCCCCCCTAGGGGCCCCCCTGGGGGCCCCCCTTGGTTGTGTGTAGGCTTAAGTACCCTCATGAGTGTTGAGGGGCCCCCTGAAGGCCTGGGGGCCCCCTTCGTTTGAATCACAGCTTTGGGGGCCCCCCTTGGTGTTGGGGGCCCCCCCTGTTATGTTTAGGGTTTAGGGTTTAGGGTTTAGGGTTTAGGGTTTAGGGTTTGGGGTTAGATGAGTATGGTTTGTTTGGATTTAAGTTTATATTTGCTGCGGGCTGCTGCGCTGTGCTGCAGCTGCTGCCCGTGGAGATAGAAGACAGAGCCGTCCAGCAGCAGCAGCAGAAACACGCAGCAGCACTTGGGGACGCGCCGCAGCAACCCGTCACCACACAGCAGCAGCAAACACTGCAGCAGCAGCAGCAGCAGCAGCAGCAGCAGCGGAAACAGCAGCAGCAGCAGCAGCAGCAGGAAAACGAAGAATAATTAAGAATGCATATAAATGCAAATAAAGATGCAGCATCAGCAGCAGCAGCAACAGCGGCAGCAGCAGCAGCAGCAAACACTGCAGCAACAGCAGCAACAGCAGCAGCAGCAACAGCAACAGCAACCAATCCCCAACAGAGTTAATACATCTCTTGCCGCCCCTAACCCCTAAACCCTAAACCCTAAACCCTAAAACCCCGCCCCACCCTCCCGCTACCCCCTCTCCCCCCTCCCTCTCCAAAACCCTAAACCCTAAACCCTAAACCCTAAACCCTAAACCCTCACCTGCTGCGTATCGAGGACAACAAGCCCCGAGATGCCGCACAGAGACGCGCTCTTGCTGCGGTGTATAGACACCCAGGCCCCATGCAGGTCCATCTGTGCTGCAGCAGCGCAGCGGCTGAACGCAGACATCTTGGGGGGCCCCCCAGGGGGCCCCCCAGGGGGCCCCTGGGGGCCCCCTGGGGGCCCCCCCTTCTGCTTCCTGCTCTTCCCGCTGCTGCTGCCGCTGCTGCTGCTGCTGCTGCTGCTGCTGCTGCTGCTGCTGGCTGCTGCTGAGGCCTCGATGCCGCAGACAGACAAAGCATACTGCTGCCACAGCTGAAAGAGAGGCAGCAGATCTTCTAGCTGGAGGCCGTTCTGCTGCTGCAGCAGCAGCAGCAACAGCAGCAGCACATAGCATCAGAAACAGTAAAAGTGGGAAAGAGCAGAAGCAGCAGCGGCAGCTGATGATGATGATGCTGCTGCTGTTCCTGCTGCTGCTGCTGCTGCTGCTGTATTTGCTGCTGCTGCTGCTGCTGCTGCTGCTGCTGCTGCTGCTGTATTTGCTG